TTGAACCTGGGCTATATTACATACTAGGCAAACATCTTAGCCATTAGGCCACAGGCTCTTATCCGTTATCAGCGAATTATCTAATATATATATATGATATATGATATATATATCTTTCTCCCCCCCTCTCTCTTTCTCTCTTCTTCCACTTCCTGCAAACAAGATCCCAATTTATACAGCTGGGGGGAGAACTACGCTAGCAGTTCAGGCCTCCTGAGTACGTCGCCCGACGTTTGCCCCATGCAGCGGGAACGAAGCGGCACCGTGAGTCTTCCTGGCATAGTAAAAAAAACTCTGTGTGGGTCCCAATCACCTAAATATACACCCCACCCCCCCGCTTGATGGTTTCCTAGGCAGGATGAGTCCCGACGGTGTCTTTTTCCAACGAAACAATGGAAAATGGCCTGCCAGGACTCGCTCGTTGTTTGGACAGGAAACATCTGCCAAGGAAATCTCGGAATCCTTCAGGGTTTTTTTCTCCCCCTAATTGTTTTCCAACTGACCCAAAAGGAACATGTCAAAACCTCCTTTTAGTTCTGAAATCCATCTGTGTTGAGAACCTCAGCCGGCCATCATAAGACAGATATTAACATGGCATTCTCTGTTCAGGGGAAGCATGCAGATGTGGCACTGGGTAACATTTTTTTGTTGTTGGTATGATTTGCATGGCATACAGAAGGGGGGTTTGAGATTTGGGGGAGGGAGAAAGGGAAATTTTGCACAGCTGCAAAGTTCTACTTATTTTTTTTATTTATATCCCACCTTTGTTTTTTTATAAGCAACTCAAGGTGGCGAACAGAACTAATTCTCCTCCTTTCTCCTATTTCCCCCCAAACAATCACCCTGTGAGGTGGGCTGGGCTGAGGGGGAGTGACTGGGCCAAGGTACCGGCTGGATTTCATACCCAAGGTGGGATCAGAATTCTCACTCTCCTAGTGATTGGCCCAAAGTCAACCAGCTGGCTTTCATGTCTAAGGCGGGACTAGAACTCCCAGTCTTCTGTTGATTGGCCCAAAGTCACCCAGCCAGCTTTCATGCCTAAGGCGGGACTAGAACTCCCAGTCCCCTGGTTTCTAGCCTGGTGCTTTAACCACTAGACTAAACTGTCTCTCTTAATACTCTGCTCCCACCGTAAAAGGAGAGCAAAGTTTGAGTCCTCCAACTGAGAGCAAATGGAGGTTTACGGAAGCCAACATTCCTATTTTTATCCCTTTTTAAATTGATTTTTTTTTTAAAAAACACTGAGGCATTTCCTGGGCTGTGGCTTCCTTTCGCTGTTATAATGCATGCTTATCCCCCACCCCACCCTGCTCCTCTTTGGTTGCAGTTCCCCACCAATTTTGAAACTTATATATATATTCTCTTCCNTGTCGATCAGAAATGTCGGCAGTTCAGCAGTTTGAATCCCTAGCACCGCGTTACAGAGTGAGCCCCTGTGACTTGTCCCGGCTTCTGCCAACCTAGCAGTTCGAAAGCACGTAAAAAATGCAAGGAGAAAAATAGGAACCACTTTTGGTGGAAGGGAACAGCGTTCCGTGCGCCTTTGGCATTGAGTCATGCCGGCCACATGACCACGGAGACGTCTTCGGACAACGCTGGCTCTTCGGCTTTGAAACGGAGATGAGCATCGCCCCCTAGAGTTGGGAACGACTAGCACATATATGCAAGGGGAACCTTTACCTTTAAGTGAATAGCTTCCCCCTTGACTTTGCTTATCCGAGGGGATCATATGCAACCGTCATAAATAGGAGTCAGTTGCCAAGCAACTGATTTTTTTTGTCGTGTGGCCATGGGGATGCGCCAACGGTCGTAAGTGTGAAAAACGGTTGTAAGTTCCTTTTTTGTAACCTTGAATGATCGCTAAATGAACGGTTGCAAGTGGAGGTCTTTCGTAGTTTGCTTGATTGCTGAAGAAGGGGTTAAGGCAATTAACAGGAAAGAGAGGGCCTCCCCATCACGATCTCCAGTGACTTGTGGGGACTTCAACACCCAGAAGTAACCGTTGGGAACTTCTCAGAGATCCAACCTAGAACTAAGGAGACCCCCCCCCCCCCAGTCAGCGTTGCTGAGAATTCTGGGAATTGGAGTCCATCCATCTGGAAGATGAGGCCCGTGGTGGTTAAACCTTGAAAAATCTCCAGAAATTGTGAAGTTCTAAACAAGAGATATTTTTCTACTTACGGACAAGAAAGCAAAATGAGGGGAAATGGAAAATGGATTTTTTTTTTTTTTGGAATTAGACTTTTACCACTAAGCATAAATAGAGACCGCTGGAGTGGTGCAGTGGCTAAAGGTAGAGCTCTTGCCTCACAATCAGAAGGCCGTGAGTTTGATCCTGGGTAGAGGCAGATATTTCTCTCTCCGGGCACACTGAGAATATATCTACTGCTGTTCACCATTTAGCCCAGTTCTTGAGACCTCTTAAGGGACAAGACTTGTGATGTCTGGATTGGCATTGCACAAGAAGTGTGTGTATGTGTGTGCCTCATCCGCTTCAGACATTTGGAGCAAATATGCTGTCTCCCGTGGTCCAAATCGTTTTGAGTTTTGCAAGGAAGTCCTGTCAACCGTGCCCCAGATTTTGCTTTTTCTCAATCCTGGTTTCCTTTGCCAACAGGGGGATCGTTGGCCAAGTTGGCTTACTACTCCACCGTCCAACATAAAGTGGCCAGGGTACAGTCCTTCGATCAGTCGTGCAAGGTAAGACACCTCTGTTTCCCATTTTGTCTTTGAAACTCAAAACCGCCAGCCTGAGAGATTTGGAGCGGGAGATGCCAGGGGCTCAGGTGCCAAGCAACATTTTAGGATGGCACAGGTGCCCAAATATAAGTGGTGCGGTGGCCTAGAGGTGGAGTTCCCGCCTCACAATCACGAGTTCATGAGTTCAATCCTAGGTAGAGGCAGCTATTTTTCTCTCTCTGGGCACAATGAGAATATATCTGCTGCACAAAATTCCTCATTGGCGACAAGAAGGGCATCTGGCCATTAAAATACTCTTCTAGCTCCATTCAGTTGGCCAGACTCCACCCTGCAAGGGATTATGGGGTCGTTAAAAGATGATGATGACAAGTGCCCAAATATGATAACAAAAAAGGCTCACAATCTCTGAGATTGTTCTGACCTAGGCTCCCTGAGGCAGTAAAAAGCACACCCTTATTCCCAAAAACCTTCTATTTATTTCAACGGCTGTGAATTATATTCATATATTCAGCCCGTAATGAGTCACAAATAGTTTGTAAAGAGTCCGATAGAAGTCTGCCAAAGTCTTTCTAGATAAGGCTGATTAGCACCCACCTTTATCTCCCTTGAAACGCTGCCAAAGACCTAGTTGCCGATTAGCTTTGCAAGGCTCCACGGAGCACAGAGTCAAAACAGAATGAACAAAGTTGCCTCCTGCAAAAGCTCACGTGCCTTTGCTCCTCCTTTATGTCTTATGGGAGGGGCCAATCACCTTCAAGCTTTACTCCCCTGTTCCTCTGCCCCACTGATCTCCAGCTCCAAAGGCAGCTAATCACTGTCGGATGGCCCTGGCCCCCTCTCTGCCTCTGACACAAAACCCTTGTCCGAGCTTTCCCCAGACTCCAGAACTGGCCCATGTTCCTCCCCAACCTCCTCACTGTCCGACTCTGCTGCCAGCTCCGCAGGCTGCCTGGGGACCGCAACAGAGATTTAAGAGTCTCCTCCCTATGAATTTGTTAGTTTTCAGCAACCTTGTTTAAAACCAATGGAATCTAGCCCAGCAGCTGGCTGGGGAATTCTGGGAGTTGAAGTCCAGCTATTTTAAAAGCTGCTGACATTGAGACGGGCTAACCTGATTTTTTTTCCCCCACCCTGCGAGAGACGTTCGGCCCAGAGGAATCCTTTGAACCTTTCTGTTTGTCGATTCCCCCGAAGGATGTCGAACACGAGTCTCCCTACGAGATCACCGTCCAGGAGGAGATCACGGCCCGTCTCCATTTCATTAAATTCGAGAACACCTACATCGAAGCCTGCTTGGATTTCATCAAAGACCACCTCGTCAACACCGAAACGAAAGTCATCAAAGCCACGGGGGGTGGTGCGTACAAATTCAAAGAACTTATTGAGGAGAAGCTGGGATTAAAGTAAGTGCGAGTGCCTGTTTTTGGGGTACATACGAAACCTCCCACCTTTGAATCCTCCTTCAAAGCATTGGTTGCAACTAAGAAAAAAATTTATACGTATTTGGGGAGAAAAAAACCTCAACGGGGCTTTTTTTCAGGAAGCGATGAGCTGCTTCTGCAGCTGTTAACGGCCTTGTTGTTTTCCTTACCTGGTTTCCGGGTAGATTAGATAAAGAAGACGTGATGACTTGCCTGATTAAGGGGTGCAATTTTGTCCTCAAGAACATCCCCCACGAGGCCTTCGTCTACCTGAAGGATGCCGACCCCGAGTTCAGGTTTCAGATGAACCATCCTCACATTTTCCCTTACTTGCTGGTCAACATTGGCTCCGGAGTTTCGATCGTCAAGGTGAGGACAGGTTGGTTTAATCACCATACAGGTAACTCTTGGCTTAGGAGCACAATGGAGCCCCAAACTTCCATTGCTAATGTTCTGACCGAGGCTTCCCGAGAGCCTGTAGCAAACTCCTGGTCCCGACAAAAATCCCTTTTATTAATTTCCTGTGAATTCTGCATATTAACATCCAGCAAAGTCTTTCGAGGGAGGATTTACGGTCACAGACCTTATCTGGCTTGGAGAGCTGCCAGGCCGATCTCTGCAAAACTTGGCCAGGAGTCTCAGAGAGTCACGAACCAATTAAGCAAACTAATTGTCTCCTGCAAACTCCACTCCCCTTTTGCTCCTCTTTTATTCCCTCTGGGAGGGGCCATACATCGTCNTCTCAGATAAAGCAGAAGGAAAACGGCATCGCCCTCCGGTGTTACCAGGGCGTGATTGAGTCCCTGGACTCCCTAGGGTGGGAGGAGAGGCAGTTCGCTCTGGTGAAGGGTCTCCTGGCTGGGAACGTCTTCGACTGGGGAGCCAAAGCCGTCACGGAGTAAGTCTCTCGGGATTTGGGGGCCCTTTTCACCGGATATTATTTCCCCAGAAACTCTGCCTTTTCTGACCTCGGCGGTTGAGGTGGGTCCCATTTGTGTTAAACCCCAAAAAACCTCAAATGTGTTAGAGGCAGCCCTCACCTTATGACCACAACGGAGCCCAAAAATCCCTGTTACTAAGCGAAACCGTTGTTAAATGAGCTTTGGCCCATTTTAAGCCCTTCCTTGCCACGATTGTTAAGGGAATCACTGCAGTTAAGTTAGTCCCACGGTTGTTAAGTGAATTTGGCATGGCTTGTGAGAAGGTCGCGAAAGGCGATCACAGTGCCTCCGTCATAAATATGAGTCGACTGCCAAGCCTCTTGAGTTTTTGACCCCATGACTCTGCCAATAGTTGTAAGTGTAGAAAACTGTCCTAATTCAGTTTTTTCAGTGCCGGTCACTAAATAAACTAGTAATTCGAGTACGTCCTGCATCGCTTTGGACAAGGGCGAATCCAGCCAAAAGTTCTGCTTTGAAATTGGAAATAATCTGCTTTTTAGTCTAAAAAGCACCTTCACCACCTAATCTTAATCTTAAAAAGAAGCAAAACAGGGGGGAAGTTGCCATTGGTTCTGCAAAACTGTAGTAAAAAAAAAAGAGCTCGCGAGGATCGCGCACCTCAGTTATGAGCCGTACGATTGTCGGAAGCTTCCCCCCCCCCCCCCGTTTTTTTAAAGCATTTTTTTTCCTGCATATTGGCCTGAACCGACAGGGAAAAAAATGCTTTAAAAAGAGGGGAGAGGAGATTCCATGACAATCAGCTGTGCCTTCCGATCGTGGGAATCTTTTCCCCCACTTTTTAAATATTTTTTTTACTACCTATTCACCTGAACAGGTAGTAAAAAAANATCTATCTATCTGTCTATATCTGCCTATCTGTCTATCTGTATCTGTCTATCTGTATGTCTATGTATGTCTATGTATCTATGTATATGTGTATGTAGAATGTATGTAGGAGAAACGGTAGGAATGTGGCAGAAATGGGAGAAAACCCAATTGCTTCCGTATTGCTGGGAGAATTCCACACCCCAAGGCTTAACTTTCCAAGGGCTCTCATCCTGCATTTAGAAAGCTAACTCATCAAAAGAGCTGTGTCTTAAGGTTCCCAGGCTAGATTTTTAAGAGGCAAAAAGATTTTCTCTCTCTCTCTAAGGGAGGGCAAGCAGTTCCAAGCCACTCAGAACTGATTTCACGAAGAACACGAAAAGAATAGAAAACCAGAAATATCCATCCTTCAAGGCTATTCATCTGATGGACCTTTGGGGTTTCCCCCTTTTTTTAGAAGTTTGATGAATTGCTGCAGCTCGCCTCGAAGGGCCAACACACCAACGTCGACATGCTGGTGAAGGACATCTACGGCGGGGCGTACCAAACCCTCGGACTCAGCGGGAACCTGATAGCTAGCAGCTTTGGAAAATCCGCCACAGTGGATAAAGGTAGGAGTTTATTCTTCAGTCTGTTAACATTAAAATTTTAATTTTGCCCATTAATTTTTAAGGGCCTTTATTTGTTTCCATTCTCCAGACGTGGCCATCTCCAAATCTCACTGCCCCTTCTTTGATTCTTTCCCTGAATCTCATTCCGAATCAAATTCGGGGACCTTCCTATTAATTGACTCAAATCTTTCGTGGGTGTGTGGGTGTGTGTGCTTGATCTCCCCCTCCCTCCCCCCTCTTGTGCCCTTCTCAGATTTTTCCAAAGAAGACATGGCCAAAAGTTTGCTGCACATGATCAGCAACGACATCGGGCAGCTGGCTTGCCTGCACGCTAAACTCCACAACCTGGACAAAATCTACTTCGGGGGCTTCTTCATCCGTGGTCACCCAGTCACCATGCGTACCATCACTTACAGTATCAACTTCTTCTCCAAGGTAGCGGGAATAATTAAATCAGAAATCCTGGAGCAGGTTGGCAGGATGGGGTGAGGTGAGGTGAAGGCAGAGCAAAGTGAAAATTGGAGGCTTATCATTGTGTGGGCACAAAAGTAGCCCTCTGTAAAGATATTTAGACCAGTGGTCTCCAACCTTAGCAACTTTAAGACCTGTGGACTTCAACTCCCAGAGTTCCTCAGCCAGCTTTGCTGGCTGAGGAACTCTGGGAGTTAGCAATAGCAATAGCAATAGCAGTAGACTTATATACCGCTTCATAGGCCTTTCAGGCCTCTCTAAGCGGTTTACAGAGAGTCANATTCAGGTCCTGCCCTGAATGACGTCACGTATAACGAATCCTTGCTTGTGGCGGAAAGGATCGCGACGATGGACGTCATCATTCGGTAAGGATCGGTGGGCACGAAGCTGGAAGAATCAAAGGTTTTTGCCTTTGGGCACGGGAAGGAGGTTTTTAAAGTCATGCACCCTGAGAAAGCTTTCAGTCTAATTAGTGCGGTAAATTTTTGACAATAAAGGCAGGCGTGGGATTCAGCCAGTTTGAATCGGTCCCTTGAATAAAAGAATTGAAAACAAAATTACTAAGTCAAATTAGGTGACAATTAAGAAGACACAGTGACATTGGGATGGTGTCATAAACATCGCAAGTGAGAGAAATGACACCTTTGCTTCAAAATCAGAAACGGATGCAACTCTTAGTCTAAATTCTGAGAAGCAATAAAAACCTTGATTTTTAATGACTTTACAGTGTTAAAGCAATAGAGCTAATAAATACATTTATTTTCATTTATTCATGCTCATCTTCCTGGGTCTAAAATAACCACTGAATTAAAACAGAAATATAGTGGCCCCTTCTATTTTAAAAATTGTTCAGTGTTTTCTCTAATGCTTCTGGCCACTCAGTAAAGTTAGTTTTGCCTCTTCTTGATCAAATAGTTTATCACTTTATTATTAATTTTTTTATACTGTTTCAATCTCTTTTATTCGGTTGATCAATTTTACAGGTCTGATCCCCGACAGTAATGAAAAATATTCTAGATAACCAGGCAAACCAGCCTAATGAAGTGAAATACGAACAATTACTGTTAAAGCCAACAGATGAACCTCTTTTGCATGTCTTGAATTAATTTCCTGGGCTTTTCTGCATTTTGCTCATCCCCTTTGATCTGTAACCCTTAGTTAAATTGAGAGAAATGGACAAGTTGTAATTAATTTTATATGGGTTGTATGATTTGCAAGTGTTTAAATATGTATACTCCTGGGTTTTTGAGACCAAATCCTCTCCCGGGATGATTACTACTAGACTACTTCCATTTCCTAGTAATTGGTGTGCAGGATTTAAGGCGGTGCTTAGATCCCGACAAAAATGTCAGAAGGGAAAAAGGTCTTGGAAAAACATCAGGATGGACAAAGTTTTCATTTTTCACTATACACAAATAATCGATGGAGCAAAGTTTGTTAAATGAAACTTCCTTTGTTAGCGGAATACCAAATTGTTCGAACAGAACTGACATAATACTTTGAAAAACAAAATCCAGACCCCACTTAGAAAACCCTCTGACAGATACAGCAGAAGGAGAACGGAGGGAGAGGGAGGGAGGGAGAGAGAGAGAGAATTGATAGATATAGATAATAGATAGGATGGAGATTGGTAGGCAGGCAGNTAGCTCCACAGTTGATAGGGCTTTCGGTTAGGGCAGGTAGAGGAAAAAGGACATCACACTAGGAGGAGACCCTAAGGTGGGGGAACCGGACTTCCGGTCGGCTCCAGAATTGAATGGGGGGCTTAAGGGTTAAGACCTTTGCGGCTCTTTGAGTGTTTAAGGTGCCGACCCCTGCAAAATTTAAGAATACTCAAGACATTCTAGGGGACTGAGAGATCTCCCTCTCACGGTTTTGTTTTTTGTTTTTTAAATTGAGGGATGGTTGTGGGTCCCTTCCCAGATTTTGGCTTCCTCCAGCAGCCAAGCTTGGCTTGAGGCCACTGGGGACTCCGTGGGCCGAATGTGAGGAACGCGTTAATTTTGTCTCCGGGTTCTCTGATGGGTCTCTTTTTCCTTTCGCAGGCCCCAGCTCATAAATGTGCCTTAATTTTTGCAGATAACAGTGGAATTGATGTCATCTTAGGTGTCTTCCCTTTTGTTAGGGAATTGCTCTGTAGGGGCACGGAGGTCAGTAACATTTCCGCGGCGTCTTTAACGGTGACATGCCTTCGAGGGTCTCTCTCTGTGTGTCGGCTTGGCGGTTTAAGGAGGAGGAGACAAGGGGCCCCAGATAAGCCTTCTCCAACTTGGCACCTTGGAGGGTGGGGGTGTGTGCGACTACAACTCCTATCTTCCTCTGGCCCCCTTGATGGGACTTGTGGAAAGCCCCCCAGTTAGTGAAAGACTAGAAAGAAAACAGAACTGCTACTATTTTTATAGCAACTATATTAAAAAAAATACATTTGGGGGGAAAAACGGCGTTTAATCCCAGCTAAAAAGGATTAGTGGAAATAACTTGATGGAAGAACTTAGTTCCATGGAAGATGCTAGTCAGACTCATGACTTAGAAAGAGAAGAGAGTTTCTTCGGCCCCATCTCTTCCCCCTCGAAGCTCGCAACATAAGACCCCCCACAACCTTCTCCCTTTGGGGGCTGGGGTCTCCTGGAGTTCTGGCAGGAGATCTCCTAGCTGAAATGGGGGGGGGGGAAATCTGCATCAGGGGAATTGGCTTTAAGAGGAAGAAGAGACAGACATCCAGTGGTGGGCTGCAACCAGTTTAACAACTGAACCGGTCCCAATTGGCTGCAGCCCACCACTGCAGATATCCCTTGTCGTTAAAACCCTCGGTGATCAATTGATACCAACCAAATATCAATTATTTGCCAGTGAGTTAACACAAGGACATTTCCAAAAGAAAAGGAATGGGCAAGCTTCGAGATGGTATACATTATTTTGGGGGGTGCCAACTCGGTCTTGTAAACTTTTCCCGGATAGTATTGAAGATGTGACCCCTTTTTAATTTCTGGGCCACCCCTCCGAAATAATATTGGATGCGTTTGGTGGTCATTTTGCCACACAGGCCAAGATGAAAGAAATGCACTGATGTAGGAATTGAGCCCCCCCCCCCCCCAATTGTGTTGGCATTCCTCATTCTAACGTCCCCAAGAGAGCCACGGGTGCACATATTTTTCAGAATATACCGTATTTTTAGAGTATAAGACGCACACCCCCAAAAGAGGCTGAATCTTGCTTTTTCTAAGCTGTTTTTCAGCCCTAAAGAGGCGCTAACGAGTGAAGCCATCTTCCCTGCTTTGCCTGCTTCTCTCATTGCTGCTCTCTCCGACGATCAGCTGTGCTTTAGAAGCTGTTTTTCAGCCCTTATTAGGCGCTAACGCGAACTTCCCTGCTTTGCCTGCTTCTCTCATTGCTGCTCTCTCCAACGATCAGCTGTGCTTTAGAAGCTGTTTTTCAGCCCTTATTAGGCGCTAACGCGAACTTCCCTGCTTTGCCTGCATTTCTCATTGCTGCTCTCTCCAACAATCAGCTGTGCTTTAGATGCTGTTTTTTATCCCGAACCAGGGGATAAAAAGCGCATTCAAAACCAGCAAACCTAGGGGCTGAAGCTGATCAGATTAAGGACGCTAACCAGAGGAATACCTGGTAGGCAGAATTCCTCCCCCCATTTTCCTCCCCAAAACCTAAGATGCGTCGTATACTCCAAAAAATACGGTGTTTCAGTTCTGATTTAAAGTGGCTCAAATCTCACTGTATGTCATAGAGAGTGCTGACCCACAATGACTTCTCTTCAAAATGTCCTTTGCTTTTCTCTCTCTCTCTCTCTCTCTCTCTCTCTCTCTCTCCTCTGCAATACCAGGTTATTTTGGCTTGCAATTCAGGTCCTGCCCTGAATGACGTCACGTATAACGAATCCTTGCTTGTGGCGGAAAGGATCGCGACGATGGACGTC